TTCCCCTCAGAAGTTGTTGACGCGCAGCGACGGGGATGACAGAGAGCTCAGTATATGAAACTAAACACTGCGACTGCCAAATCGATTCTCCCACAGCCACGTGTTGACGCGCGAGTGTTACGGAGCGTGTTTGTCAAATGTAGTGAGCGGTCTGGGATGGATAAGGGTGTGTGAGTGCCGCCATATGGAATGTGGAGTATTTTGAGCTCATATTCCCCACATCAGGTCAATAAGGTCGGCCTGGAGGTCAGCGGTCAAAAGCTTTGACCTCGTGAAGTGAGATGAAGAAAGGAGAGTGATATTCCCTCGTGTTTCGGCCACACACACGCTCTATCTAAGTCTTTGCAAATGCGCACACGCTTACACAAACAAGCACATGCATAGTTTTATATGCTTTATGTTCACAACATTCCCAAACCAGTGAATGCCGAAGTCTCTTTGGATTCCATGCTTGACTTTCCCATGACAAATCCCTTTAGGGACAACCCACCCCTGTTCCCCTTCTCTCTCTCCATCTTTGTGTCTCACTGTTTCTCGTTCTCCTTCCCAAATAGGCCTATTTTCCTAAGTGTTCTGTGGTAAATTAAGTACCTGTGTGCAGTTTGTTTGGGAACAGTGTGTTTGGGGTGTGTTTTTGTGGGTGTGTGAGTGTGATACTCAGACTCTGAAATCCAGTCACATAATGACACCTGCACAGATTTCACCACAACACAGCACAGCATGTGTCCTTCTCTGCGCCACTCGATAGCTAGTTACACAACAGTTCCAGTTCATTTTAGGGAAGCTAGTTTAAAACTTGTCAAGCTAGATGCTAAACCTGATTGAGATTAGTTAATCTTCAAAGTATGTTTCTGAAAATGTAGCTAGCTCTGCTACAAGATAATTACAAAATCAATTTATAGGGATAGTTCACCGTAAAATGTAAATGCTATCATTTAATCACCCTCATGTCATTCTAAACCTGTATAAAAGTTTTTTTTTTTCCTCATCCATACAATAGAAGTCAATGGGTGCCAGTGTAGATTGGTTACAATTGTGTTCTTTAAAATGTCTTCTTTTGTGTCCACAGAAGACAGAAAGTCATACAGGTTTGGAACAGAATCTTCATAGTTGGGTGAACTGTCCCTTTAAAATGTAACTATCCAATGACATAATGTCTAATTTTGTCAGTGCTCTATTTTCTGGCAAGTGCTGTTACGATGGCAAGACAATGAGGGTTTTTGAATGAGTGAACTCGTTTAGGATGATGGCATTAAATTTGAAGAGATCCATTTACACTAACTGCAACTAAAAACTAGAGTACTTGGATTTAAATACATACAGGTGCGTCTCAATAAAAAAAATGCTTCACAGGGACTTGGATCGGTGAGTCCTTTGTTTATCCATTTATTTACATGAGCTATCAAAATGAATTGATTCAATAGAACCGGTTCAATAGAAGTTTTAATGCTACATGTGAGCAAACGAACAGATTCGGAAAAAACAGTTTACTGGAATGAATTGTAATTAGCAGTGCTACATTTGTACCTCAGGTGTCGACAGTGAAGCTTTGCAAGTTAGTAGCATCACAAAGTTTAGTTCGTTGCACCGTAACACTGGGGCTAACAATCTGTTAATCTGATTGGTCGAGCAGCACTCTAATATGAAATAAGCACTCTGTTATGTAGTCCACTTTTTTACTACTACCAGGACAACTCTTAAATACGTGAAATAATAGTTTTTTCCCCCCGTTTCTCCTTTATTGAGTTTAAATATAGAGTGATCAGTCACATGACATTTACATCTCAGATAACTGGCGGAAGAAAACAAAAATCGGTTTACATACTTTCAGAGGTCCTGCTCCAGCTGAGCAAGTACCATTGAGATGAATGGTAGATCTTCAGGTATATTAGACCTGAAGGTGAGGTGAGCTTCTGTGTGTTAATTGAAATATTTGTGTAGGTGTATTCCAGACAGTCAAAGAGGGAAAGCACAGCGGGGTTTTCTCCATCACTATAATGCAGCACATGCATTATTCTCTCTGCTCGGCTTAGTGTGAACGCTGCGCTGGTATTTCCTGTTTATGCTGTAGGAGAAATGCCCTTTGAACTTTTCCAACATGCACTCCCTCAGGACACCCCAGTTCTGCGCTCCGGCCCCCTGTCCAGCATCTCTCAGCATCGCTTTGTATTCAGTGCAAATAACACAATCAGCGTGGCCTACACTCGCCAAGATGTTTAGAGTTTTTTGTGGTTAGATTTGCGTGTTTGTGAATGAGTGTGTGTGAGAACCTCAACACCTGGGCATCACAGACGCTTTTCACCCCTCTGAAGATAAATGAGCTGATGTATCCATTAGTAATCACTGCTTAAGTCACCAATACATGCTGAGTACTACAAGGATGGCTAACATAACTTTATCCTAATATTTATACCAGCAAACTTTCTTGACTGAGACAGAGAAGAATGATGTGTTTTGTTCCTTGTGTTGAGATTATTTACATGCCTGTGACGGTGTATTCACTCGACACTGTGAATAGATTGTTGACATTTGGCCATGAAACAGCAGACACAATGGGTGGGAAAGACCACAGCAGTCAGAGAAACAGAGAGAGAAGTTTGTGCGTAAAAAGATTCAGATCAATAGGTGGACAGCCACTTGAATAAAACAAAGAGTGTGTGTTTATAATTGAGCTCAGAGTGAAACTTAAGGAATGGAGTGTCGTGAAGTGCTTCTTTAGTTAATGCAGGCCTCTCAGGGAGCTGAAGATGTATAGTTTCACACGCCGGGAGTCTGATCTGATCGAGTCAAGCGGATCGAGAATGGTCCAGGGGAGTGGCGATCCAAGTTTGTGTGTGTAAGTGTGTGTGTTACGATGGCACGACTCGCATTCCTGCTACTGTTCCTTCTCACCCTCCCTTCCTCCTTTCCTCCCTCGCTCTCCCTCTCTGTACCACTCTGTAATTAAACGATCGCATGGTGACGCTAAGAATTTGAGCAGAAGTTAATAACCTACAGAATTACGGAAAGAGCTTGATTAGCTAAAAACAGACATTTCGAACGGTGGACACTTGCCTCTTCTCCTCGATTTGGCTGTTTTCTTCTGCGTTTCCAGCTGAGGGAGGTGTCCTCTACAATTCTCTGTCACCCCAAGCACCCTTACAGATCGCCGTGCCACCTCTGGGTATGCCAGGGGTAAGTATGTCTGCTGACCGTACGCTCAAGCATATGCTATGCATCACTGTCTCAGGTGAGTTTAGACAGTCATGCGCAACAGGTGTATCTCGAATGATGCAGTCGCTTGTATTGAGAATATATTTTTGCTCATATTTGGATAGAAATGGCTGATTTGTTTCTTGTAATGTTGGTGAAAAAAGTCATGTACACGAGGCTGCGCATGTTGTGTGGTTTGTTTAGTAGCGCTTATATAAAGTGGTTAGAAGTTCTTAAACTGATCCGTTAGTTGCAGCTTGTGTTGATTGGTCACTGAGATCTGCGTTTCGTTTTGGTGGGTTTGTGGTGGGAAGAAAACTGCTAGTCTGGCAGAGTTCAGATTAGCGTGTGCACACAGAGTAGCACTGTAATCTGGATTAGTGGTTTGAGGTCTGAAGGTGGTTTACACCGTTAATCAGCCCAATCAAACATCAGCTAATGTTGATTTTACATTCTTGTGTGTTTGTGCACAGGATGTTTATGGTTGCATATTGGTGTGTGTGTGTGTGTGTGTGCTCATTGGTTGCAGTTCACAGTGGCGTTCTACAGGGTACTTTGAAATTTCAAGTGTTTCGTTGCGTTTGCAGGAACGTGTGTTTGACATCAGTTTTTGCATGTGTGTAACATGAGTGGTTTGTGTGTTTTAAACCTACACAAACTGTATACAACTAATTGTGTGCACGTGTACTTTTATGCAAGCATACAAACCAAAGTTTTAAGTGTGTATTTCTTGCATGCATTAATTAATTCCAGTTGTTCAGCATGTGTGTGTAGGTGAGAGATAAGTGAATATAATTATTACATGATGTCATGTAATGTTAGTATTATTCCATAATATTGTTAGTATTGTTTGTTAATGTTGTTGTAACATTTTGATAGCGTCACTATAGCAGTCCATAGTGGATTCCTGTCTTTCCACTCTGCTGGAACACACTGTCTTTTCAACCTTTCCTGTTGTGTTTCTCGTACACACTCCACTGCAGTGTGTGTGTGTGTGTGTGTGTGTGTGTCTGCACTATGCTGTTTCTGCTTTGATTTAAATAGTTATAAGCAGTTCTTTGGTACGAAAACTAATAAATATTAAAATTGTTGTTGCTTACCCTTTCTTTACATAAGGCTTAAACACATTGATTAATCATCTTTGTTTTCTATTTGCATGTATGAGCTATTCTTTGAAAGAAAACGAGAAAGAGGAAAGTATATTGCCAGCCTTGGCATCGCAACCACACATTCCTCTCTATTAGATATGGATAGATTTACAGAGAGTTTCATGTTTAGCTCTCAAGTACCCACAGGATATTGCCAGATATGCTTCATAGCAAGAAGTAACATTCTAGCAACATGATAATTGTTTTTAACTTCATATTACAAAAGAATTGTAAAATGGACTTTGTATGGTGTATGCACATTGAGATGGATTTTTTTTTTTATTTTAGTAAAAATGGTTCAATTGCAGTTCCGCTACTTTTTCAAATATATGGTTCCAGATTTCACAAATATTGGTTCCAGCTATTTGTGTGATGGGATTTTCTGCTTATGTAGAGCAGTATTGTAGTCAAGAAGTTGGACAACTTTCAAGACCATATTTTCTTGGTCTTATCTTGAGAGCTGTAGACTCAACACACTCTTCTTGTCTTGGTCTTGACTCAAATGAGCTGGTCTCAACTACAACACTGATGTGGAGCGTTTCAAATCGGTCACAAACAATTCCATTTTATTTTGGATTCTGTCTTTAAAAGCACCTGCCTATGTAGGCAGTAAATAACAGCACAGTATGTGTTAACAGTATTTTCCTTTTGTGTTTTCAGAGACGCCACTCAAAGATGGCAGCCTGCTCCTGGATCCAAGGCTGCCATGTTGGTGAAAGTTAACAGCATTGGAAGAAACCAGTCTCTGGGTCCAGCTACTGCCCACCAATTGCTCCACCTCAGCCCCACCAACACTAGCACTTCACCCAAACCAGGTTACACAGCGCAACTTGACAGAACCAGTCTGCTCAGCAAAATGGCCGTTCCTGGAGACTCCAAGCTGGGTTACCACCTCAAAAGGGGGGATGCCAACTTCTGTCTGGTTTTGCCCACTACTAGCTCTTCCTCTTACTCTGCCCACCAGCGCTCTGGTGCAGGTACACCTCGCCCCTCCTCTCCTCAATACGGAGCTACACCATCAGCACCTATCTACGATGAACCTCCACCCATGGATCCCCCCATTTACGATGAACCCCCAGTGGAAATGGAAGTAGAAGGGGTGCACCACTTACACCGAGTTCCCTACTCCACCAGTCACAGCCTGCCGAGAGGAGCCCAGCCTCCTAAACTCCTCCAGTTCCCCCATTCCAAACACATCTGCAGCTCCTCAGCTAGTGAGTACAGTCCGGCCGGCAGGGAGTGCATCAAACACATGGTGAACGTGGATGCAGCTGCATCCAAGCATCAGCCTCAGACATCTAACACTATTGAGGGGCCTTCAAATACAGCCAGTCCTCAAATCCAGCCACAGTCTCCAGTCTCTGCCCGGATTAAGAAAGAAGTCTCTCTGGAGAAGAAGCAATCATGGAGGCTGTTGGAGCCCCGCCACAGCCGTCAAAGCAGTCTGGCCTCTCAGGAGTACCCAGGTCCTGCTGCCATCACGTACCAGGACTCTGGCTACTCCACTGGGCCATCCCCAAGTCTGAGAAGGAAGAACCGACGTCGTGCAGCTCTGGGCACTGGGTCGGGTCGACCCGGGTCGGTGGGCAGCAGTGGGGAGTTGAATGCATTGAATGAGAAGCTGATGGCGGAAATGAGGGCGGTGGTAAACCGTTCCAATGCACTACATGGAAGCAAGGTTAGTCTAGACACTGAGATGGGTTCAGAGGCCTCTGGAAGTACTGCCCGCTCCCTGGTCAGTTCATTGAAGATGGGGGCAAGAGGGGGTGAATCGAGGGAGGATGTGACATCAAGTAACCGATCACTGTATAGGGGCGGGGGCAACAACCAGGGCGATGTTGTGTTGTCGGCACTGGTGACAGATGGGCTCGGAGGCCGGCAAAAAAGGACGTATGAGAAAGTGGATTCGCTGGAGAAAAGCGTAACATCGCAGACCAGCTTGTCTTCCCCAGAACCACCAAGGTCACCTTCACAGGTACCAACACTTTTTGCAGCTGTCCACTTGCTTATGGTTGGTCCAGTGCAGCAATCTGGCTTATCCCCCTTTTCACCAAATTTGTCCTTTATTCCTCTTTTTTTTTTTAAATCACCCTTCTCACATTCGATGGTCCCACTGTGTCTAATGGCGCTTTTCCACTGCGTGGTACGACTCGGCTCGGTACGGCTCCGTACGGCACGGCACGGTTCGGCTCGGCACGGTTTGCGTTTCCACTGCAGTTCAGTACCGCTTTAGAGTGGGCGGGATTATTCACATGTCGTTATAGTTGCGCCGCCTCTTCGCTGGCTGTGCTGATTTAAATCTAGCGGTTCTTTTGTGTTTGTGACGCAAGTTCAGTGGTAGTGAGGTGGGCAGTTCCATGGGTAGTGACGATTCTCTCAGAGTTTACACGTCACGTTTTGGTAACGGTACGGTTCACTTGGAACCCCAAACGAAGTGGTACTAAAAAAAGTACCAGGTACTGTACCCAGTGGAAAACCCCCCAAAAGTGAACCGTACTGAGCCGTACCGTGCCGTACCATGCAGTGGAAAAGCGCCATAATAGAGTTCCTTGGAGTGGAAAAGCAAAACAACACTTCCCATCCGGTTGTTGTAGAAACTATGCAGGAGATGGCGAGTCTTGGAGTTTCCTGAGCTGAAAAGGGTGTGAATATTCCATTCTAGGGAGATTTACTTTTTCTGTCTGTCTATGTGTGTGTGTTGTGCTTAGATTAATAGGATTGTACGAGGGCCAGTTGTTTTTCTCATGTGTTTAGTGAGCATGAGACTGATGGACGGGGAGATGTAAAAGAGTCAAAAGTAAAGATCAGCTGAAATGTGTGTGTGTGTTTGATTGTATGTTTGTGGGGGATGTACATATGGGAATCGGGTAGCAAGTAGGTCAGTGTAGAGCTTGAGAACCAAATTACTTTTTCAGACCGTCGTCATGGATGACTGTATTTAACGTAGAGTGTGTTTTATGTGGATAAACACATATTGGTCACAATAAAGGCAGATAGCCTACATCATTTGTTACCTGCCACCAGTCCACATTGTAGTGAACTTTATAGCAAAATTGCTGCCTTTTTTAGATACCCTGTCACAATACTGGAACTACTGACACTGCAGACAGTGGAACTCGAGTAATCTGCTTCGTTATACATTTGAAGTCAAGTATAAACGCTTACGTCCAAAGTATACTTCGTTTTTGTACGTGTACGCTAGCGTATGCGTACAGTCGAATGCGTAGCCTTTCAAAATAGACACTATTTCATAGCGTGCGTGAACACAGGTGGTCGACACATGCACTCTAGAAAGGTTCATCTTAGTCCAGTGTCTGTGCTCTTTAGTTTCCGTCTCTAAAGTTTCATTTTCTACTGTGAAACAGCGGCCTGGGCCAGTGTTGCCACTCTGTGGAACAACTGATTAGTGCAAAACAAATTCAATGCGCATGTACGGGCCTGCACATACAAACGTAGGCGGTTACACAAATCGGGTGGTGCGTGTACTATTCTAGTGAAGAAATTTGTGTCACATCACACGGACTGTACGTGGACCCTCACGTACGCATAAAATATGAAGTATACTTTGGCCTTTACTACAACCAACAGTGCAGGAACTCGAGCAATTTTATCACCGTCATTATGAACATACCTTTAGAAGGCAGCTGCAGTGCAGCCCACCAAGGTTTGAAATAGAGATGAAGTGTTTTGTATTCAGGTTCTGCATTTGATAGCATTAGCATCTGTGTTAATGCTGTTCATGAAGTCATTCCCACACGAGTGCTGGAAAAACTGTAACATAAATTGACCTTTAGTCTGTGCTCCACCAGAAACAACCTGTCTGTTTTGAAACATAACAGAAGTACAAGCCCTGCTGCTATTTGCAGAAGAATTGAGAAAGCAAAACAGAGACCGGGCCAGTCCCCTCATTCACTCAGCCAGGTGTTGTGGTTGTATGAGACAGTCGGCTCTTACAGCTCGCTGTGATTTGGCACATTCGGATAATATGTTTTGATGTGTGTGCTGACAGTTTCATTTGTCATTACTGTAGTGCTCCACATGTGTTTTGGCTTCTCCTGGGGAGCATAAGTTGGTGGAGTTAATATAATGGATCTTAATACACTAGGAGAGGTTTGTCATCATTCAAATGATCATAAACGATTTAAATAATCACCTGTAAAACTTTATCAAAATGACCATTTTCCTTAAGTATTATGTAGGCCTATGTTAATCTTTGTGAATATATAATGATTATTCAATATTTCAAGTTTATTTAAATATGGCCAAATTTAAAAATGTCAGATTTAACAAAAATACAAGTTTATCTGTAGTATTCAGCCTCCTCTGTACGTCTGCTGGCCCTTTGGCTTTTTCTTCTTGCCTTTACATGCCTCATTACCTTCATCAGTCTTTTTCTCTCTCTCATACTTGCATGTCTGATTAAAATATAACAATAAATGTAAAGGTTGTGAGGTTGGAAACATTGACTCAGTGATTTGGTTCAGAGCAAGCTCATTACATCTTGATGGAGGCAGAACCTCACTAATGTCCAGACGCATGGAGAAACGCTCCATTCTTACAATTTAATATGACCACATTGTTAAATCTGTATCACTTTGGGCACAGTGTCACAGTGACGTAATGCCAGGGGGCGCCGGGGCATGAAAGGAAACCCTTATGTTACGGGAATATACCACAAATGTAATGTGCTGGATATGTATGACACTGCATATACAGACGACATCATGTTCATAACCTGTCATCTCTCATTGACTCTTTTTGTAACCATAATAATGTCAGCATGATTGTGTTTGGTTGTGTCACATGCTTGGCTGACTCAAGAATCAAAGGTCGTACATTTCTCAAATTAAATTTCGATGTTTTTGTAGATTAGTCTGCCCTGCGTTAAACTGCGGCACGGTGTGACACGATCACATTCACAATCTCAGTCAGTCGTAGGGTTGGGAATCGAAAATCGATTCCGATTCCAGAATTGGATACTTTAGGTCAGGAATCAGATACTTGTTGTCAAATAAAAATTTCGATTCCGCCTATCGATTCCTATGCGCTTTTTTTTTTTCATCTGTGAGAACCGAACCTAGCGATCTGCCAGGACCTTGCTTGCTAATCTAAGCACTCCAAAGTTTGGCTACATTTGCGATCAGAAGCCAAAAAAGCTAAGTATAATATCTGTAATAGCTAAACATGTTTCAAGAGAGGTGTCACCACCAACATGACAAAGCACTTTAATTTAATAGATCGTTAAAGATCGCGAACACTATTCAAACACCAACATGATTCTATTCCTAAATTACAATGATTCGTCTGTTTCATTCCTCAAACTTTGACGTGTGCGATCAATGTTGTAATCACTTGGTTCGTCCGTGCAGCGTACGATCACACCATTGTGATCTGAACATTTAAATTTGCGTTCGCGCTGCCATCGACCTAAAGAGAGGGTTGGGGGGGGGGGGAGAAAAAAAAACTAAATTTATCCAGAATCATGCAGTTCTATTTTGCACACAAACAGCTCTTAAAGAGTCCAGTTTTTATGTAGCCTGTTGATTTTTGTTAATGGTATTCAGCCCCAATAAATGGTTTGCAAAAAAAGAGACATGGGATAAATGTTTGATTTTATTTAATCACATTGGAATCGAAAAGAATCGGAATCGATAAGCAGAATCGGAATCGGAATTGATAAAATTCAAACGATACCCAACCCTAGTCAGTCATGATTCATTTATTCCACAAATGACGGTATCCGATTACCAGTTGGACATCAGTTATCACAGTTTGAGTAGTATTTGTCTGGTCATGTGATTTCAAAATGGCTGCCTCCATGAAGTGACCCACTCCATGTTAAACAGCTTTTAGTCTTTTTAAACGCCACAATCGTCTGCAAGCTCGCATTAAATTTTTTAATCTAACGGCCACATCTCAAAATTAATCATAGAACCAAATAATCAATAGAACCAAGTCCTGCCCTACCTACATTTTCTTTTTTCATTTTCAATAATCCGTTATACTTGGATGTGTGCTACAATATGGAAGAAAAGATCTGTTGCTACTTCCATTCTATCGTGACTATTCCATTGGGATAAACACATTTTTTTAGAAATACTATTGAATTATATATGTTTATGTGATCATTTTTACATGAGAGAAAAATACATTAAATTCGGTCATTAAATTCATTTTCTTTAGTGTGGAAGAAATCGGGTCGGGGTTTTTGGAGCATTAATGAGTTAGGAAAGAGGGAGAGAGGAGGAAAGAAGAGGGGAGGCAGTAATGTTTGAAGTTAGGATGTGATTTCCATATTGGGTCACCTATTTAGGGAGCGAGCGTAATCTATGTGAGCGTTTCCAGTTTTCTGCAGGGAAAGTGTAAGCCAATCGGCTGCAACCTACGCAACACACGCACTCAGATTCAAGTTCCTGCGGCAGTCATGATGGTGCAAATAAATGCTAGAACAGCTGCATCCATGCTGACATCTTTCTGTTTCTCAATCTTTCTTTTTGTCTCCAGACAGGAACACTGGAATCCAAAACTCTGCAGGACATCTCGCCCCAGGACTGTGACCATGACAGAGCGGGTCACGGAACTGCCCACCTCACCCATAAAAACAACAACAACAGTCCCCCTCCTTCCGTTGGCAGCACGGGTTCCGGTTACCAGTACCCGTACACCACCCTCTGCAAACCTACACCCGATGCCAACATGGAGGACTGGGCCAGCAAGAACCTTAACCAGCACACGCAGGGCTTATTTCGCCGGCGCGTCTCCATTGCTAATATGCTGTCGTGGAACCGTGGCTCCATTAAGAAACCCATGCTGATCACCAGCGACCGGTCTGTCAAGAAGGAAGCCTGCGAGATGTTCAAGCTGGTCCAGGCCTACATGGGCGACAGGCCGGCCAGGTTTGACAAACGTCACGCAGCCCTTCAGGTGGTCACGAAGTGCTGGGGGATGCAAGGCTTGAGGGACGAACTGTATGTGCAGTTGGTGCGACAGACCACCGGAAACTTGAGTTTGAGGAGTTTGGAGGCAGGCTGGGAGTTGATGGCCATCAGCCTAGCGTTCTTCTCACCTTCGCCCAAGTTTAGGCTCTATTTGGAAGGCTACATCCAGCGACATATTGAGCCCAGTAGTGATAAGAAAAGTAGGTCATTTCAAATATTTATTATAGATAAATGCCACTTGGTCTGATGTTTTATGTCTAATGCAATTGGATTCATACATTTATAAGTGTGGTTTGAGTGTCCAAATACTTAAGCCAAATAGGGCCAGTGTATGTCTTGGATAGTCCAGTGTTTTTGTTTGTGGGATAGGGAAAGGACACACACAGGGGAGTGTTTATATTTTAGGCTGTCCCATATGGATTCAAAGCCTGGAACACTTGTATACATACAAACAGAGCAGGCCAATATTGGTTACACTGCTAAAATTATTATGGCATTGTGCCTACCCAAACAGGATGTAACGCTGTGGAGGAGAGAAAAATAAAACGCAGGGGTTACTGCAGGTCAAACGTCACAGGTCATGGAACAATAAAGTCATGTATTGTTCAGGCAGACTGTCGGAGCATATGAGCGTTCACAATTAACAGTTTTATTGTTTTTATTTATTTTTTATTTATTTATCTGACAGTACTTCAGCACATCATGGAGCAGCAGGACTTAAAAAATAAGAAGAATTCAAAATCCATGAAGAAGAGGAGACAGAACAATGAGGAAGAAGAGGATGAGGGTGAGTTTATGGTGGAATGAGTCATTTACACAGACAATCAGGGAAATGTGCGTACATCTATCATTGTCTATCTTTGTGTCTTTATCTATCTATCTATCTATCTATCTATCGTTGTCTATCTTTGTGTCTTTGTCTATCTATCTATCTATCTATCTATCTATCTATTGTTCGTTCTATCACTCTGTCTTTATCTATCATTCTGTCAATTGTTCTGTCAGTCTGTCTGTCTATCGTTCTATCTATCTATTATTCTGTCCTTATATCAGTCTATCATTCTTTTGTTCTGCCATCCATCCATCTCTCTATTTCTCTCTGTATGTTCTATAGTTGAATACGTAGTGAATGCTGTTTCATGTTGTTTTTCGTGTTCTGTAAGCTAAAGCGTCCTTTATCTTTAACTGAAAGAGAGGCTCCCAAACACTCCCACTCATAGACACCGTCAAGGGGTTTGGTCTACAGTGTTTAACAGTTTTATTGTTTTTATTTATTTTGTATTTATTTATCTGACAGTACTTCAGCACATCATGGAGCAGCAGGACATAAAAAACAAGAAGAATTCAAAATCCATGAAGAAGAGGAGACAGAACAATGAGGAAGAAGAGGATGAGGGTGAGTTTATGGTGGAATGAGTCATTTACACAGACAATCAGGGAAATGTGCGTACATCTATCATTGTCTATCTTTGTGTCTTTATCTATCTATCTATCTATCTATCTATCGTTGTCTATCTTTGTGTCTTTGTCTATCTATCTATCTATCTATCTATCTATTGTTCGTTCTATCACTCTGTCTTTATCTATCATTCTGTCAATTGTTCTGTCAGTCTGTCTGTCTATCGTTCTATCTATCTATTATTCTGTCCTTATATCAGTCTATCGTTCTTTTGTTCTGCCATCCATCCATCTCTCTATTTCTCTCTGTATGTTCTATAGTTGAATACGTAGTGAATGCTGTTTCATGTTGTTTTTCGTGTTCTGTAAGCTAAAGCGTCCTTTATCTTTAACTGAAAGAGAGGCTCCCAAACACTCCCACTCATAGACACCGTCAAGGGGTTTGGTCTACAGTGTATATAAGGGAATCTTCCTGGTAACACGTTTGGCTGAGGAGGGACAGTATTAATGATGCTTTGGGTCCGCTGGTGGAGGAGAACCACTCAAAGAGGGAGCAGCTGGCCGAGCACAGAAGGGGAGTATCCCCCTCCTCTCTCGCTCTCTCTTTTAGAGGCAAGATTAAAGCTTTGAGCAACAAGACGTTTGCGAGTCCCACGCTTCCCTGGCCCGTAGCCAGTCTGCACAGGCAAAGAGAGAGTGAGTTTGTGGGTTGAGAGGCAACAAAGATCCTGCGAACGTCTTTCAGTCTTGAAGCGAGAGTGATAGGAGATGGAAAGAGAAAGAAGAACAGGCAGACTGAGACAAAAAACGGAGAATGGGACATTTTTATCAGGTTACACCCTCCGTGGCTGCCATCCAACTTAACCCTCAGCTTGTTCTTTTATCTCTCGTCTATATTCCTCTCGCACACAGTGAGCCTTTCTCAAGAGCCCCGCTCCAAAACAAAGAGTTTGACGAGACAGCTCTGCGTGGGCTCTTAATAAAGCAGCTCCAGCCTGGCCTCGGTTAATTACACTGTGCGCTGTCTTCACGGGGGCAGTGCCACGAGACATGTGCTCACTTCAATATCACCAGTTAAGTAATGGCCACTATCACTGTTTGAGGTGGAAGTGCATGGCTAAAATGAACTCTCATTGCTCAGATATCATTTAGTACTGAATACTTATTACAGAGGCAGCACATCTGGAGCAACCTGAAGTGTTTTGCTTCATAAGATGGTGATGGTGATGAGTTCAAGGAACACCTTTTGTGCGGTTAGAACCTACAAACCACCAGCCCTGATTTTTTGGTTCTTTAACTGTTTTACATGTGATTCTCTAGCGCAGGACTTTCCTTTTAGCAGCCGCTGGCTGAATCCAGCCCACTTCATCATTTTATTAGTACCCTCTGTCTGACTTTGATGAAATCGTTGCACTGCCTGACACATCACAGTGTGAAACTCAGTGAGGGGTTCAGAAGCACTCAGCATTCGATATTTAGCGGTCTGCATTTCATATCTGAAATGGGAGCAAGTGTGTTGAACCCTCTGGTGCTGGTGTCCACTTAAGTGAACATTTTTAAAGCATTTTTAATCATTCAGGGTATAATGTTATCTTCAAACCACCATGGTTGATAATCATTGATCCTTAACCATAATTTTATACTGCATGACTTTTAAACGTCATTGTGACATCATAAATTCAGTATCCATCCTCCATTAATCTCATTCAATGAGTTGCAGTGTCATTAATTGCATAAAGCAACAACAGCATTACCACATTACAGATGCACTCCTTTAGTTTCAGTGTTTGATTTCCGTTGGATTGCAGCAGACTAGGTTTCATGTGCCACTGGCCTACAATCAACAAGATCGCGATCTTTGAACTTCATGGTCAAGATTACAGAATTTGTGGGAGGACTTATGGTGGCATCATTGTTTGTTCGAGTGATGAGTTGCAGCTAAGCCAGAAAAACAGTGGCTTTTCAAATCCCAGCGTCATGCGTGTATGTGGAAGCCAAATGTCAGGAATGTTGTTGTGGTTCTAGTGGATGGAAAATACAAAGGAAACAAATTCACTTGTCTCACACTGCCGTCACTAAACAGTGTTTATTTGTCTCATGAGCTGACTGAAGTGCCGCCAGTTTACTTTAGTCATCCAAAGCATTGTTTTGGCTGGAGTGGAGCATTCCATGTCACACCTCTGCACCTTCCCGCTCTCTGACTGGATGCTGGGAATGTTCTGGAACGGCAGAAAGAATGTGGCTTTACCATTGCAGGGCTTCAGCAGCTGTCTACCAGCGCCATGTGTCCCAGGAGATGGCATTGTGGGAAGGGCTGGAGTTCAGAGGCCCTTTTGAAACAGAACAAACACTCTCAGTGAACTTTATTATATGATGTGGCCCTGTTTTTTTTGTAAGGCTCTTTTACTCTCTCGCTCTTGTTTCGGGATGTTTTGTGGGGGTGTGGCTTCCTCCTGCCTCCTGTTAGAGGTGCATTGTGGGGGGGAAAAAACCTGTATGTGCTGAAAGGACTGCCGTTACAACACTGGCACTATTTGTATGCAAAACAGCCCTCATATCAGCTCATTTCCTTTCTCACGGTAAATGCTGAAGTGTCCAAACTGGCATTCTTTATCTTTAAGAGGTCGATGCTAAAAGTGTTTATCTGAGGATGAGAAGCAGCACACATTCACAAATGAGTCCAAGAGGATACGTGATGAAAGAAAGAGGAATAACCTCAATAAATGACAGTACGATATGATGGTAAAAGAACAGAGGGTGTATATATATATATATATATATATATATATATATACTGCATTTTAAAAGTTTAGGGTCTGTAAGAGTTTTTAATAGCTTTAAAAGACGTCTCTTATGTTCACCAAGGCTCCATTTAATTGATTGAAATTACAGCGAAAACAGTGATGTGTTAAAATATTATTATAATTAAAAAACTATTTTCTATTGGAATATATTTTATGTAATTTATTCCTGTGATGCAAAGCTGAATTTTCAGCATCATTACTCCAGTCTTCAGAGTCACATGATCCTTCAGAAATCATTCTAATATGTGACCCTGGACCACAAAACCAGTCATAAGGGTCAATTTTTGAAATTGAGGTTTATACATCATAAATAAGATGAGTAAATAAGCTTTCCATTGATGTATGGTTTGTTAGGATAGGACAATATTTGGCGGAGATACAACTATTTGAAAATCTGGAATCTGAGGGTGCCAAAAAAATCTAAATACTGAGAAAATCGCCTTTAAAGTTGTCCAAATAAAGTTCTTCGCAATGCATATTACTAATCAAAAATTAAGATTTGATATATTTACGGTAGGAAATTAACAAAATATATTAATGGAACATGATCTTTACTTAATATCCTAATGATTTTTGGCATAAAAGAAAAATCGATAATTTTGACCCATACAATGTTTTTTTTTGGCTATTGCTACAAATATACCCCAGCGACTTAAGACTGCTTTTGTGCTCCAGGGTCACATATGCTGATTTGCTGCTCAAGAAATAAATCATGATACATTTAATTTAATGCATCCTTGCTGAATAAAAGTATTCATTTCAAGGAATCATAAAGACCCCAAACCTTTGAACAGTGTATCATTCCCGTGTTATAAATTCACTGATTTTAGTCCTACCTACCAAAACCGACCTCTATAATGCTGAGTGATAGAGGTCTGAGGACTGATGAAAAGATGAAGGAAGAGGGTCATACATCAGGAAATGTAAGAATAAACACGTCAAAGGGAAAGTAGAGAATAGAACAGCTAGAAAATAGAGACTGTGTCACAGAGATGTGAGACAGACTCTTGTGAAACATCTGACCTGCTCATCTAACACGAGCTTACAGCTTCATACACACACACACACACACGAGTCATCAGAACAAGAGCTATAAATCTCACCGTCTTTGTGATTCACAGATTGTACCTGATGGCAATAGAGACGGTCTCATACAGACCCTCCTGTTCTTGTCAAGTCTGATTTCGGGAAACTTTGACGACAGTGTGCGTTTATCTGTAAATACACACCTGTGCCAAAATGTATGCAGTTGGCAATAACACAGGCAAAATGATCCAAAAAACAAAACTGAAAAGGACAAAAATGTCCAAAAGGTCGCACAAGGGTTAATGAAACAGATAGCGCCTCGCACTGCAGTGTAATTCTTAGAGGTCAGTGCGTATTAGCCAGAGTCACTAGTAGCAGTATCGCTTTCACTTTTAATATCAGTGTGAGCGATATTTCATGGATGACAGGCTCCATTAGTACTTTAAACGCTGCTTTCCAGCCAGTTTTTCCTGTAACAGTTAAACTTCACGCCTCATGCACCTTGTAGCTGTGAGGAAACGTTCACATCTCACTCGAAATGTTCACTTCCAGCATTCTCCCAGCAGGACGTTGAGCAGTCATGCTTAGTAAGAATGAGGGTTTCCGTTTTCAGCTGCTGGAAAACACTTTTATATGCATACGAGTCACTGCAGTTGGTCTTCAGTAAAATAAGAAGCTCTGTCGGTCTATGCCTCGTCGGTCTTTGTGTGACCTTCTGTGTTTGATCTTGTGTTTTTAACTGGATTGGTTGAGCATCTCAAATGTATTTTTTTCTGACCGTGCTGTCAAATGCTGTTGTTTGTGTTATTTCCATTTTGTGAATGGAAAAACAATGCAGTCATATTTAAGAAAAACTCTTGGAATGCCTGCGAAGTCATTATTACGCCCCTGCCACCCAAAGCCTTTCTCTTTCATAACATGAACTCTGAAACTGTGGAAAATGATTGGCTTTGTTTCTAAAGACTTCTTTATTTATAAATCTCTTAGGAAACAATTGTATGCTTAGGACTTTGATACAAGTCACAAGGCTCTTTCATAAGCCAAACTGTGTTTCTCCTTAAGGCCTTTGAATTGCAAATTTGACCAGAAAAAAACTTGCATTTGGTCACTCAGTGGTCAATTATGTCATTTCCTTCTGTCAGTGGTCAGTAATATTGCATATTAATTGTCTTTGACAGGTCTTCCCATCAGCACTTACGCAAAGTACTGCTACCGTAAGCTGCAAAAAGTGGCCATTACTGGGGGCAAGAAGGTAAGAGTTGTTGTTTTTTTTTATATATAAAAATTGATGTCAGTAGATGTTGGATTTATTTAATTGTACTGCTCATTTCCCTATTTTTAGATTACTGGCAACTTCCACTTAAAGTAAATTTGCAAAGACACAAATAATTACTAATAATAACTAGTAATCTTTAGCTAATCTCCAAATTAATATCCATTTTTTCATACTGTACATTATAATGTGACACTTGTAGCATTTAAAATTATCGATTTTAGTTTTAGTGTTTATTTTATTTATTTAGACAATATAGTTTAAAGGGATAGTTCATCAAATCCTGTCATTGTTTACTTACCCTTATGTCACTGCAAACCTGTATGAGTTTCTTTTCTTCTATTCAACATAAAAGATATTTTGAAGAATGTTGACTTCCACAGCATTTTAGTCAGCAGTTGTTTGGTTACACACATTCTTCAAAATATCTTCTTTAATGTTCAACAGAAGAAAAAAGCTCATACAGACTTGGAACGACTTGAGGGTGAGTAAATAATGACAGAATTGTCATTTTTGGGTGAACTATCACTTTAATATCAGACATTCAATCGCTTATCGGCTATAACGTGAAAATAATTATCAGTTTATCATATCGTCAAAATGTTAACTCTGATAAACACACATTACCCCTCAGCTCTGATCGGAATCCAGCTGGGTTTCATTTTAAAAGGCAGGCTATGGTTCTTCATCAGTTCTTGATTGCAGCGTCAACTGTAAATGTGCTCAGTGACCTGGTTTAACCAGACACGTAGAAATTGGACGATTCCATCATGTGATGTCAAATGTAATTAAACAGTAATTAACAGTTTTGCTGGGAGTATTGTTTATTTATAGATGCCAGCACTGCTGTTAGATTGTACCCAGGAGCCTCCGAATGGTCAAAAGAAGCAGTATATGGTGCAGCCGTCTAAAATTGGTCACATCTGTGAGCAATCACAGCACCCGGCCTTTAAGAGCACACCATGAGAATTACTAACCCACTAACCCAAACTAAGAAGAAAAGGTTACAACAACTCCTCAGGCCCCTCTGTAAGTCTTGTCCATGCACACACGCTTCACTGGTAACAGCACGGCACTAGAAGAAGCTGTTTCCCTCCCTATTTGTCCTTTCACCAGTCCCACCCTGTAATCAGCCATCCCACCTCTGTTTCCAGCGTTTTTACTGGGTGGGCTATTTTTACCGCCGCACCACACAGCTACGTGTTATCCCGCTCAGCGCTGATCTTTCATATTGTGTTACAGCTGAGATGGTGTCCGTCTGCTCCACATAGTTACGAGGGAAACACAGTCAGATCAACAGATGTTTCATGTGTCAGTGGATGGTTTTGTGCTGGAGTAGTTCAGATAAAAATGAGGATTCTGTCATCATTCATCCTCATGTTTTTCTTTCTTTCTTTTCCATGCAAAGGATGCATATAATGAGCACAGACCGTCAAGTTCCCTAAATAGCATAAAAGTTCCACAAAAACACTAGAAAAGTAGTTTGGATGTACTGATATTAACATTCTGGTCAAAGCCAAAAAGCTGATAATTTCATTCATGTTCAGATAACTGATAAATACCCGATATTAAAATAATATACTATTTTGTCTGAATAAATAATACATAATACTTTAAAAATGAAATTCATTTGTGTTAAGTGCTACAAGTGAATTTAGGCATCATAACATTTATAATGCACGAAAAATGGATATTCATTTTGAGATTTACAAAAATGACATTTAAGAGTGTTAAATTATTAATGAGTGATTAGCTTTAGGTGAATGACAGCAAATGTGATTTAAGTGTAAAAATAAAAGTTGCAATTAAATATACAACATTGGGCTGATACTAAGAAATAAAAATAAAAAATCTACACTAAAGTTCAAGTTTGTTTAAAAAAAAAAAATAATTAATACTTTTTATTCAGCAAGGATGCATTCATTTGATGAAAAGTGACTAAAAAGACTTGCATTGTTACAAAAATGTATATATTTCAAATAAATGCTGTTCCTTTAAACTTTGTCCATTAAATAATCCTGAAAATAAAAAGTATCATGGTTTACACAAAAATATTAAGCAGGACAACTGTTTTCAACACTGATAATCAGAAATGTTTCCTGAGCAGTAAATCAGCATATTAGAATGATTTCTGAAGGATCATGTGACACTGAAGACTGGAGGAATGATGCTGAAAATACAGCTTTACATCACAGGAATAAATTGCATTTTATTAAATTAGAAAACAGTTATTTTAAATTTGTAACAGTATTTCTCAATATTACTGTTTTTACTGTATTTTGATCAAATAAATGCAGCCTTCTTTCAAAAACATTTTAAAAATCTTACCGACCCCAAACTTAGTAGTGAACTGATAACAGTTATATTGTTCATAGAGTCTATATCATTCGATATCACTACATTTTATTATTTCTTTTGTTCAAATTGCAATGACAAAGTATGTACTATGTCCCTTGTTCTGTCTGTAGGGTCTGAAGAAGCCCACTCTGGAGGAGACTGATCACAGTCGGAACGCCATCGTGACCCCGTCTCTGTTCGGCAGCGCTCTGGAGGAGATCATGGAGAGGCAGAGTGAGCTCTTCCCCGAGAGGAAACTGCCCTGGGTGCAGGTGCAGCTCTCTCAGTATGTACTGGCCCTGGGTGGAGCCCAGACGGAGGGCATCTTCAGGTGGGACATAGACAGAGAAACAGGAAAGAGGGCTTATCATGGTGTTACGTGTTTCATATATAGCAAATTATAATGTTATTCAGACTTTCTAATTGCTAAACTACATGGCCATCCTGAAGTATAAAGATTTTACTTTCTCATCCCTCCTTCATCAGTTTTTACAACATCCCTCTTCATCCATGAAAATACATGTAACAGGGACATGTTTTCTTTAAATCCTGTGCATGTCGGCTCATCGTGCCATCTTAAGCCTGTCACATTGGCTCCACCTTGTGGTCAAGTGATCCAGCACACTATTCCTAGCCTGGTCCCACATGGTGTGTGCATGTCCATATGGTCCTCAAGATTTTAGGGTGTCCCATTTGTCATTTTATGATTCAGTAGGCCCCTTCATTGCTACAGTGTAGCCAAAGGGCTGAGGGCAGTATTTAGGACAGGGCCTTAGTGCTATTGAAGTGTCCAAACACTTCTGAGCATTAAATGAGGTAAACAGCATTCAGAAACAGAATATGTGCATCATAAGCAGTCTTGGCTGAAGCTGTTGTCTTCATCCTGCAGAGTACCGGGGGATATTGATGAGGTGAATGCACTTAAGCTACAGGTGGACCAGTGGAAACTTCCAGACAGCCTCTTTGATCCCAATGTCCCTGGTGAGAAGATCAAACATTCACATATATATCTCAAACAGCACTGACGTGGAGAAAGTGAGAGTCTGTGAGACCTTAAGATTAGAGGTTTTCAACCTTCTTGATTTGAAGGCCCCAGTTGTCCAACACTGTATCCCCCAATATATAGGCTATTATATATTCTGTATTTCTGCTGTAGTTATGTTTGTTTTCGAGCTTTTTATTAGCAGAAACCAGGGTTATTGCTCTATTAAATGCATTTTGTGATTCCAGAAGTTTTTTTTATATTAAAAACCATTATTATTGACATGGAAAAATTACAGTTTACCACTTGATTTTTTTTTTTTTAGCATTTTAATTTAGATTGAGATTTTTAATATAATGTTCATAATATGTATTAACATATTAATATAATAATAATTCATATTTATAATTTATTAATTTCAATACTCTGATCTCATCATGCAGCCCCCTGGTTGAGAACCACTGACTTAGACTAACTTTTAAATGTGTTATTTTAGCTAGTCTAGTTAGTTTTACATTTTTAGTTTCTGTTGATTTTTGTAGCCGGGAGATAATTGTTCAGTCCACAAAATACTGAAAATATGTCTTTCCACAAATTTTCAGCATACAAAAAAATATTGTCTGTTTAGTCCTTGCCTGTTAGCTTTTTAGTATCTATTGTACTGATAAAAGTTGATGAAATGAATTATAGCAGATACAGATACAGTATGCATTAAATATTTAGTCTTTCTCTTCAGTGGAAAACAAACCAAAAATATTGGACACATTTTTCAAATACTCTCTAGAATGAAAACAATCCACTCACACTAATTACACCTGTCACTGATTATTAATAACAAGTAGCAATTTAGGGGTTTGCTTTGAAATTTAAATACAGTTGACAAGTTTGTTGATTTGTTGCTCCAACAATGTTTCTAAAAGAACTAGAAAAGGAAATTGTTCATCAAACCATTTCATAGGGTCGTTAAAGATCTATCCACTATAAGAAGTGCATATCTTTGTGTGATATTGCTGAATAATGCAGCACAGGGATGTAACGCCTCTCTCTGTTTCTCTATGTCAGCGTCTCTGTTGAAGTTGTGGTACAGAGAGCTGGAGGAGCCGGTGATTCCTCAGAGCTTCTATAAGCAGTGCATCAGTCACTATGAAGATCCTGATGCAGCCATCAGTGTGGTTCAGTCGCTCCCACAGCTCAACAGACTCGTGCTCTGCTACTTCATCAACTTCTTACAGGTAATGCCCTGCCATGTGAACACAACCCTGTGCGGTGTTATACACAATGACAACACTTAATTCAGAGCTGTGTCTTTCTCTCATGCCAGGTCTTTGCTCAGCCGGTGAATGTGAGTAGGACTAAGATGGATGTGAATAATTTGGCGATGGTCATGGCTCCAAACTGCCTGCGCTGTCAGTCCGATGATCCTCGAATCATCTTTGAGAACACGCGGAAAGAGATGTCCTTCCTCCGCATACTCATCGTCCACTTGGACACCAGCTTCATCAAGGGCTTAATCTGAGAGTCGCGGTTTATTCGTTATTTTGCGGCATAGCTCCGAACTGAATCTGAGTCATTTGAGTGAATCATCCAGGAGATGATGGGAATCAGGATGTTCTTCCGCTCAGAGAATCATCTTTAAGCATCATATTATTAGTTCAGACAATGTCTCTCTCAACTAATCCAGCTTTGGCTCAATGTGAATCATCTTGAACTTGACTCTTAGGACTCTTCTTGAAGCCAGACATTATTTGAACTGAATCAATTGACTCGATTTGATTCCACAACAAAACAAATGCATGAACGTTTGTCTTTTTGGGTTTGTTATTTCTTCTGTCTTTTATATTGATTAGCAGGGAAATACATCCTTTGGACAATCACAATCGTAATAACACACATGCAATATGACCTGCAGCGTTTTTCCTTAATTTAATATGGTATGAGTGTTCTGATTATTTAATGCTCAAGTATGAGTGCGGGGAGAATTACTGGCTTCAGTTTTGTATGCAAGGCTGAGTGTAAGAAAGAAAAGGTGAATTAATATTGCAGAGCTGTGGACCACAAAGACAGCTCTGAAATACTTAGCATGGTGGTCAAAGCTTGAGGTCTGGTGCCTTACATGAGAATGATCGCTGATGTATAAGATGCACAAGTGCCCATGTACATAAACACACCCTCCGTGTTTCTGACTCCAACTGAACTGGTACCACAAGCAATTTTCAATCTGTCCCTCACAGTACTTTTCCCAGTCGTCCCATTTGGAAATAGAAAATTTCACCTCCAGATGTGGTTTGGCTACATCAAAGATGATTATGCAGAACTAAACTGTAGAAAACTGAACCAGGAACTGTTCCTCTCCCAAGATAGCTACTGCTCACTGGCCCACTGAAAGTTGACTAGGTTTCAGTTGATCCAGCAGCTCCAACATCAGTGGATGGCCAAGAATGTTACGCTCAGATTTGCCCAGGCTGAATAAACCGTTTCAGAAGAGACTTAGGCCAGAACCATACTCTACATATACTAAGTATGCAAATGCAAAAACACACCAAGACATGCATGCGGTCTTGTTGTACAAGTGTTTCTGGGCCACTAACATTACCAAAAAGCAATTACAAAAAAGTAATGACTGTTTTTTTAAATGGTTATTTTTCCTTAAACCCCTCTCCCATATGTCATTGGTCAAATATACAAATAGCTCCGCCCCAAACTCACGCCATTGGTTGAGCTGTTTCCATGTCAGGCTAGTAGTCTAAATGTTTAAACGTGTTTACATTTTTCAGGGGAATCAATCTACAAATGACTTGCATATAGTTGTCGCTGCATTATTTGGGGATATAGGAAAATACTTGACGAGGATTTTTGCATTACTGTGGGCTTACTGAATTTACTCAAAGTGGAGATATATATATATCCTTTATATAACCCTCTACCCTCATTCACTATTTCCTAAATTAGTCCACTAATATAGTCCACTTGAAGAAGTGAATGAATACTAGTGAGCTGGAAGCGGACGCCATTTGGTGTGTGAATTCACTTGGCGCGACACTTACAGTGAATGGGTATTTACTAGTGGTTAGCCATTGAGTGTACATCGGTCGTACACTTGTTGTTACAGTGCATTATGGGATTGAGAATGAGAGCAGTCTTAATGTCCACTATGGTTTTGGACACCACTGCATGGTGGCAAATGGCAGTCCTCTCAGATCATCTTGGACATGGGTTACCTTCAGATCTGTGCTCAGATTCTCTTCAAACCTACTGCAATGACAGCTGTTTCCCTGACTGAGTCAACTGACCACAGAAGAATACAGTTTATGCTAATATTGGCTATAGTGCCCCTCGTGGCAAAGCTGAGAATGCAGTGTGCACTTGTATGAAAGCATTTAGAAGACTGTTACAGGCCTTCACATCAACACTGGTAGCATCTGAACATTTCAGTCAATCACATTTCCTATTGATATAATGTGGGATCCCCCAACAGCTCTGCCTGTGCTTTTGTATATAGACCTCTCATCTGACTGATCGTTGTGTTTATAAAGCTCAATGGTGAAAGTAAGTGAGCCCCTTCCTTGTTGCACTTCCCCCTCAGTTCCTTTCCCTTAGTGGGTCTGTATCATCTCTGCAGAGACTGATACTCCTCCTGCACTCTTACTGTAAATGATTTTGTCTAATTTTGTTCTCTGTGTGAGGGTGCGTGTGAGGAGACAGCAGTGAATTATGGATGTGTGTTTAAATTTGCATAGTTTCATAAAGAACTCTGAAATAAAATTTGTAAATTTGTATAATTGCACAAAAGTTGTTGTGAGTTTCACTTCCTTGATTTGTCTCGGCCTTTCCACACACAATATGCACAGAGCAAGAGTTTGCCAGGTGCTTAAACGCAATAAGCTCAGTCCTACAGAATTCTATGCCATTATGTATCTTTCTTTCATATCATACATTTCTTCAGTTTAGCACAAATTGAATGCAATGATTGGCTCATCTGCTTAGTTTGAGGTATAATAAAAATATGCACTAGTTTTATATCATTATTGTAAAAAGAGAGAGAGATAATTATTTTAGATTAGATTTGATTAATAATACATACACGTGAGAGCATCTATACATTTCTTAGACAAAGGTACAGAATTGGAAAAGCTACTTTGAGCTTTACTGGCCTCTTGTGGCAAAGTCAGTGCTGTTACACTAGATGTGAACTAAAGTAATGAAAACTTCTGTCATATTCTGAAAACAATACCAAATCTCAAACAAAAATCCTTTAAGAATGAACTATGGCCACATGTATAACCAAGTTTCAAAAAATAAAATCTTGAGATCTGCACATTTATACTCGTTTTCTATAGGGATGGTGTTTCCGGGGTATTGATCAGTCAAAGAGCAATGCTGTTCATTCATTGTCTTGTGTTTTTGTCAGCTCTTACCTGTCGGTCCTTGTCTTTGCTCAGTTTGGGTAGTCAAATCATAATCATGTATGAAGTGTGTCATGCATTCTCCATGCTGCTTCCATGCCAGTTTGATTGTGCAATCAGGTCATTGAATTTTTTGACTATTAAAGAAACATAAAAAAGAAGGAACAAAATCATACAGACATTAATTTGAGAACGCATACTGAACATATACATTTCTGAATTTAAGGTTGACTGTGACTGCATAATTATTGTGTGGATGTGGCAGGTATCTTATACTAACACCTAGTGCTGTAAATGCAGTATCACACCACAGCAAAAGCTTTAGCTACTGATGTATTTAAAGAAATGCTCTATTCAGTCCGCCGATGGTTTATAAGCAACAGTGGCCATAAACGGATTATTTAGATAAAGCGTTTAATATTTGTTTACCTGCATATCATGTTATCATTAACCAACATCAAAGTACCGTGAACGTTTAAAACGTTGTATGTTGTTTTCAAACAGTCTTAAATTAAGATAATTATTTCCCACTACATATTTTACTGAAATGCCTAGACTGTTTATTGGCAAGTGACATTGTGACAACTTACCCCACGCATACAGTGTAACTGTATCAACGTTTTTCCATAACATATGAAACAAACTAAATACAAAAATGCATTTCTACTTTTCTATGCATAGCCTCCTGGGACCCAGGCACAGACTTTTGTCCTCTGTAGAGGGTATTGTATTTTAGTGAATTTCTCTGAGACCCTACATGCCACAGTTTTAAGTCTGGATGTCCTGTACAGAGCACATTCAGGGCTTTTTAGAGATATCAAATGTTTGGAGGTTTGATCATAAACACACCTTCTCTTTGGTCTTTAAATATGACTTATACTGACAGAAAGATGAAATTTAGCACTCTTAGGAAAGTATGAAAATGTTTTGTAATTATTTAAATCGGACTAATTTTCAAATTGTTTGTCGTAAAAAAGACAACATCTCAGAATAATGTTATGGGGTTTGTTTGACTTTTTATTACGAAACGGCATAATTTTCATACACGTCTTCTGTAGAGGACACCAGGACAAACGGCATGTTAATCAGGCATTTTGGGGAAACGCAACAAGACATTATAGATCAATATTCCTATGAAATATGAGATATTCTTATGAAAATGTTGCCAAGTTATTACTCCCATTATTACACTTCTTTTTTTTCATTATGGGTTTCCCCAAGAACACATTAGGCCTAATCTGCAAATTAGATGCGATCTATAGACACATTGTATAGAATGAGAATAGCAATTGATGGACATTTTACACACATATTACATAAAGTAAAAAAGTATATCAAATAAATCTGTTATATCTTTCATTAAGAATCATCTTTGTACAAAGTTTGGTTAAAAGCAGCCTGAAACCTAAAAACCGATTGGTGAATGAAAAAAAGAAACCATTGTTTTTGCCTATACATGCCTTCTCATGCCTATTTATTTTATTTTTTTAGTAACTTAGTCCTGGTATCCTCTACAAAGGACGTAGAATAAAATATGAATAAAATATCATTTAAAAAAATTATTTTTTCTCCATTTGTTTCTTATGCTCCAACCAGTGTAATGACATAATAAACAACAAAATTCACAAAACTTTTTTTTTATGGTTCTCAGGAGGATATGCGTTTTAAACTAGATTTTTGTTCATTGTTATTGATCTATACACTGTGACCAAGATAATTTGGGGTGTAAATAAAATAAGGCATAAATACACAGTGTTGGGAAGGTTACTTTGGAAATGTAATAGGTTACAGATTACAAGTTACCCTATTTAAAATGTAATAAGTAGTGTAACTATTTCAATTACTTTATTAAAGCAATGTAACTGATTACATTTGATTACTTTTTGATTACATTTCTAAATTTCGAACGAATGTTTTCAACTGTAAATCATTTTGAAACATTTAAAGCAGGCAGGTTTAATCTTACAGTAGCACTCAAGACTGATTACTGTCAGACTTTCAGAATCCTTCAGCACTTAATTTTAAAGCACAGCCACCACATAATCAGACTTTAGCACCATGTTTTACTTTGAGATCGTTCTGAGGTTAAATACAGATTTAAAATCATATCAAGATATAGTTTAATAGCTATGATACTGTTTTTGAAATCAAATCTTTGCATAGCTATGACAGGAAACACCGGCATCTAGCAGTTAATCTAAAAAAAAAAAAACATATACATAAACCCAAATAAATAAAACAGTTATCGTATAAACGTTTCCTATTCTGTGTCCTAAACTCCTGACACATTGGTGTCTCATATTTTAGAGCAGCCAATGCAATTTGGGAAAGAAATCAATAAAATCTGTATGTGGGTGTGTGTGAAAATATTCAGATGTAACCCCCTTGTAATCTTTAACATTTTCATAAGTAACTAATTTAATGACACATTTTTTCTCAGTAACTGTAACGGTTAAATTTATTTTGTAATTACGTAACTCCGTTACATGTAACTAGTTACTCCCCAACACTGTAAATACGTTAGTCTCTTGTATTTCTTACACTATAATTAATAATCAATGTTGTCTCGGGATTAGAGTACAAATGAATGGCATTATTATTTAAAGGGAAGGGAAGACACCTGCCTCTGTCTTGTCATCTTCACAGAACAAGCGACAAAACTGCTCTGAACTTCACATAACCTACAAGAATACGGCTTCTGTACTGCAGGTCTAAACTATCCCGTCGCCTTTTGATGGAAAGCGTGAAAAGCGAGATGGATACGCAAAAAATTCTCCATCAAATGAGGAGCGGCGACTCAGCGAGCTTCCGTGCGCGCATGCGCAGACAGACTCCACCTCGCGGACGCCGGCCACGCTGCTCGCGCCGGAAAAAACAAACTGCGTGGATGCGCTGCGCTCTCAAAGCATGCGGCTTAAAGCAGTCTTCACGCGTGTGGACTTGCTTTCTTCGCTGCCGGAGTACATTTATCAGCAATAAAGGTAAACGGCGGTGTGATTATGTATTGCAAAATAATAAGTAGCCGTCTTGGACGTTTTATTTGTTTTAATTGTGAAATGTGTCATTTTTATGTGATGTTGTCCGTTTAAACGAAACTTGCCTCCATGCATGTGTTCCCCCTGTTTGATGCTAATGGGACGCATGAAAGTGATTTTGTCAAATAGTGCATTCGTGGAAAGTGTCAACAGCTGCGGTCTTGCTCTTTAAGTAGATCGCGATAAATGAGCGTTTGGGCTTCTTAAATAGCTGGGAGACTTTTGTTCGACTCATAATTACGGTAGTCCCATGCAGCAAGAAGTAGGCCGAGCGGAGGCCGCTGAGCGTCAGAGTTTGAATGACAGATGCGCGGTCCAATCAGAGCGCTGGAGCTCGCGTCAGTCAGGGCTCTCACCCAATCAAATGGTTTGCTGTTGTTGCGCATCGTTGTCGGCAACTGAACAATGCAATGTCAAAATAGCAATTTAAAATGCCAAGCAAATTACGTAAACTTTATTTTGAGGGCCTGGCTCGTCGTTGTGAAGTGCAGGTAGTATCGCATAGCGTTTTGTTCGCCTGCTGTCTTAAACTAAACACAGCAGTGAGCGTCAAGTTCGCAGACAACGTTGCACCCACGTTTTCTTCGCATGCGAAGTGGAGGAAACGTCAAATGCCTGCATTCTTTGATATTTGCGTTGATATCTTCCTCCTACTATCAAAAATACGTTTATCTTCAGTCGCTGTGGTTCGTTGTGCTGATTGCGGCGTGTTATGACAGGCATGTAGAAATGAGCCGCTGGCCTGACAATGTAAACAACGAGGAGGAAACGGATTGCGCGCCATTTGCGTCACGCCGCGCTCAAGCGCCTGTTGAAATGCGTGACCGTTAAGCGGGAGAGCCGTGGAGTTTGTGAATGCATTGATTTAACCAAATGTGCCGGTTTCCCGCGATTATGACGTACTGAAAATGTATGCGCCTGTAGGAACGTGTCTGTCCACGAGGACGCGCACGCGCCAGAGTCCGTTATGAAACTTCAGCGACGCGTGTGATGACGCGCTTTCATGTGATCGTTAACCTCTGGTGTTGTTCATTCGGGAGTCATACTTGTGTTGTTTACGGTCAAAAGTGACCGGACACCTGAAATGAAACTTTTTTTTATTATTATTATTTTCAGTGAAATCAATGTAATATATATATATTCGATAATATTTGTTCTTTTTTGTTTTGTATTTTGAGAGAATTTCATGGTACTATTTTATATTTATGCAAAAATTCATAATAATAATACCAAAACAATTTTTTTCTAATATTTTTCTATTTTCAGTTATGGCAGTATTTCATGTTAAAATAGAGACAATGCCTTTAAAATCAAATTTTTGAAGGCAGATTACCGGTAGTTCCATCTGGTGGGAGTAAAAAAAGAAAAACGTCTGAAATCCCGTGGTTTAGCCACTAGATTCCTATAGAGCTCCATATAAAAGGCCTATAAATTCTCTAGTTGTTTTTAGACATTGTATTAATTTTACTAAAGTCAAAGCTGAACACAAAGAAATACATTTTATTACACATAACATCAAAGTTCAACAAAAATGTAACAAATATAAACAGGAATGTTTTATCAGCGGTTAATCAATCTGATTTCAACCTCTTATTTGAATCTTCTGGTTAAATTTTGCCATATTGTTACAGCCACACCAGTTAATTTGTGTGTGTATAATAGTGTGTGTGTGTGTGTGTGTGTCTGTGTATGTTTGAGTGTGTGTGTGTGTGTGTTTGTGTGTGTGTGTGTCTGTGTATGTTTGAGTGTGTGTGTCTGTGTATGTTTGAGTGTGTGTGTGTGTGTCTGTGTATGTTTGAGTGTGTGTGTGTCTGTTTTGTACTTTAGAAGTTTTAGAGTGTCACCCCTTCCTGTGTTTTTACTGCATTGTGGCAAAATTATTGATTTTCACATATTTGCAAGAACATGCTTTGTGTTATAATCACACTAGTTCATATATGTGTGTCTGTGGGGGGTGGGGTGGGTGAGTGTGTCTGTTTTGCACTAGAGTGTCACCACTTCATTGCTGTGCACTTTTTTTTCTGCATCGTGAATGTTTTGTAGATTGTACACACAAAAAATTCTCAGTATTTTCGTAATTTGTGTATTTCCCATTCATTTCCAACAACACAAGTGTGACTTTTTTTTTTTTTTTTTACGACCATTTAGCTTTTTCGAATCAAGTCCACGATTTTATTTTATTTTGTTTCATAGTGACTGACTGCCATAAAAGTCAGCGAGTTTCATACTATTCCGATGAAGTAGCGACTTTTAAAATGTCAAAACATTTTTTTCTTCCGGTCTAAAATGACCGAACAGTACCAGAGGGTTAATGATGAAGAGCAGTGGATTTTAGTGTGAATTATGTCAGTCTTTCCTATTTGATTTAAGAAGGGATCTGTGATTCTTCAAGTTTCCTTTGCTTTTTCCACTCTTGAGACTGGCAAAATTATTTACTTTTTAATGTTTTTCCTCACTCTACCAGCCTTAGAAAAAAGTGCTTAAAGGGACCCACAAAAATGAGAATTATGTCATCATCACTTCCTCTCCCTCATTTCGTTCTGTAATATTACTTAATGCATTTTAATTGTTATAAAATGCACTGTTAACCTTGTCTGTGCTGAGATGGGGAAACTGTGTTATGAAACTGTTAATTGCTGTAAACTAAATGTCTGTGTTCCCCCTGCACATCTGATCTGATGATATTCTTATGGATGACAATGTTTATTTTTTAAAACCAAAGCAAGCACAGCCTCTACATGTGGTTTATTTGACAAAATATTAATAAAACAATATTTTATTATTATTATTATTATTAATGACTGAATGATATGGGTTTTTTGGGGGCCGATACCGATATTAGGGAGTAAAAAAGACAGATACCGATATATCGGCCGATATTCTTTATGTGTAGGCTATATTACAGTACAGTATAGCTAAAAGTTTGGACACACTTCCCATTCGTGTGTCCAAACTTTTGACTGGTACTGTATATATAATTTTTTTGAACATTTTTTGCAATGGTAACGCAAATGTGGTGATCAAACTTATAATGATGTGATAAACATAGGCCTATGTAGTGGAGGCAGGGTATTTAACAATTTAACAATAAACTTTATTATTCAAAATGAGTCTGACAGCAGTGCACTTAACAGTAAACTTCACTTATTATAAATAACTTAACACAAATAGAACAGAAATATATAACTTGAATTAAGAAATTAAACAAGGTAACTGTCTAGAACAGTAGAATGTTTATTTTTCTTTGATTTGTTTCCTAAAAAGAAGAAAAATAAAGACTGGCATCTTTATTTAACATAAATCTGTAATTACAGTTATTTAATTTTAGTTATATAATTCATATACATATCATTTATATACATACATTACCGCACTGCCGTATATTATATACATATATATTTCATATCATTTAGTTATATAATTTCATATACATAATTTGATTTAATAATAACCCAATTTGAAGCAAAAACAGAATGTTCTGACTAGCTTTGTGAAATTCTACTACATGCCTGAACGAAGCAAACAGCAAGCA